TAGTATTGAATTTCACGTAAGTTATTTTTGTAAGAAAAAACTTTTTCTAAATTTTTTTGCAGTTACATTTTTAAAGTTGCAATATTTGCTGTATGTTGGGTTGCCTATATATTATATTATAAATTATAGTTTAATTGTACAAAATTATATAAATTAGCATCCCTAACTGTATTTACAAGAAAAAAATACACTTTAAAGTTGAAAACTTATCAATCTACTTCAACAAAACGTAATTATAGCTCAATTATAGCCTTTAATTTAATGTTCTGAAGCCTCCACCAAAATGTTCAATAAATTTTTTTAATAATTGCTAATAATGCTTGTATACCTCCATGAATGTCTTATTTTCTGCATTAAAGGGATAGTTTACAAGATTAATAAGTGTTGTCTGATTACACAGAGTTTGGCTACGTCGCTGATAAGAATTGTTATTACAATAAGATAATTATAATAACAAGTATTTATTCATTGGTCAATAAGTATTATTATATTAACTATAATAAAAGAAAAAATAACAAATGCATTTCTAAGAAAGGTATTATTTATTTATTAAATTCAAATAATCATTTTATTGAATTATTTATAAGTATATAATGTACCAGCTTAAAAAAAGATAAAAAAGACCAGAATTAATCCATTCTAGTTTTTAGGTCTTTTACAGTAATTTTGTCCTTTTCACTGAAACAAAACAGACAATTAATAAAAACAAAAGGTGTTTGCGAATGGATTTTGGTCTTACATAATGTATACTGTGGCTCCCCAACCTGACATTGCATCTCTATCAAAAGCATTAATAAGCGCTTGTGAAGTGGTTTCAAACAAATCGTCAGGTTTGAGTTTGGGCTCCCACAGGGCTTCACACATTCCAAATAATTGAGCAGAAGCAGTACCCCCTACTACAAAGTCTTCAGGCTCATTTATACATCCAATTAGATCCATATTACAAACGTACGGTTCTGCAGTAATAGGATCTAGTCCTGCTATCACAGGCTCAACAAAAAATGGACCAAAACGCTTCTCATACAGCAGATTCGAGACCATAGATGCAAATACTTTGGGGCTTATTCGCCGGTTTTCTTTCAGTTCATATAAATTTTTTCTAAAAACAATAAGTGTTTTTCTCTTGTATAATAGTAAGAAATAAGGAACGTACCGAAAATTTAGCTTTTCTACAACAGTCTGGGTGTCAGTAGCTAGTCCTGGTAAACCAACATACAAATGGGGTCCCATTTGAAACACTTTTGGGAATTCAATAGAAATCGTTTGACCCTGGATACCAAATCTTTTATCTGTAGCAATGGAAACACAATTGTCCCCTTTCATAGCTACCATAGCTGACCCATTATACGATAAAATAGACTAAAAATAAAGGAATATTGTAATAATTTTGCAAATAGTTTCGCTTCGTCATTTTACACTTAACCTCAAACATTCATTTATGCAAGTATTTTCAGAAGTATGACTGCATTTTACTTACCATTTTGGCAAATTATAGTATAATTTTACTTGTAATTCATACAACTTGTTCCACTAACTCTATTTTCAAGCTTTGTTAATGTTTTAATGGTTTAATTACCGATGATGACAATAAACCAAATACTAGGTTATGTTGCCAATAATCATAGAACAACTAAAACAAAAACGCGAAAACTCGTTCATAGATAACACATAATGGTTTTAATTTAAATTTTTACCGCCAGTAAGTGGGTGACAATTTTGTCAAATTGTGACAAATTTTCTAATTAAATTATTATAATAATCTAATTCAAACATGGAAGGTAATCCTCAAGAAGGCATAATGGGGGACATTTTAAAATATTTGGAGCAGCAACAAGTCATTGGGGGGGAGGATATTTTCGATCCAGAGTATGGGTTAAAAAGGGCCAGAAGCGTCCTGAGTGAAATTCTGCAGAAGATAGATAACAGGGCCAAACTTATTGATGCTTTCGAAGCAGCAATGAGGGCCCACAATCAATATCTTCTGTTCGATTTTAGTAACATTGTCCCCGAATTTTTTATTGGTAAGTAAAAATGACAAGCGCCATCTGTATTGTAATACAGAGAGTAATACTCTTCGGTACATTCCCGAGTATGTTTTTAATAAACGTTTGTTCAAAATAATTCACATTTATTATAAAAAATACATAACAACGTAAATGTCGTAACAATAATAAAATATATTACGTACTTAATTAAAAAGTAAAAAGAGGTAATAAAACACTAGCAAAATTAAAAAATAAATAGTGATCAATAACTCTTTTATATAGAATATAACTAGGTATAGCGATGCTTTAGCTGGCAATGGTACAAATTATAAATGTTTAAATATAAAAAGAATCTCTTACAATTTTTTAATTCAATGACCTCTAAACTTTCTGCCCCATGTCATGTAGTGTTGTTAAACATTAATTAATCGCAAGTAGTAATATAAATACATTTGGTTATATGTACATTAACAGCAGGCAACTAATTTGAGCATAATCTGAAAAGAAAAAATTTAATAAATAGAAACAATTTTTCAGACGAACAATTGTACGATCAGATGACATTTCGTGAAACGTTACTCGTGAGTACTTTCGCCAATATGTCTGAATCCCCCGTTCCAACCCCCGTAGGGGGTATATGTATCGACGTGCAAAAAGCCAAAGGCAGAGGGCCCTTAGTTCGGAGGGACCCCGCTTTCGAACAAGAACTCATAGAAGCCTTAACGTGGAAACACGAAGTGGGGAACACCAAAGATACTGGAAATTGGACAGAAACTTGCAAAACTTGCGAGGAAAATAAATCAGGTAACACATAAAAAACAAAAACCGAAGAAATCATTTACACATTCCGTAATTCCGCCATACTGGATAAATTGCTACGCCATGTTGAATAATTAGATAATTACTTTCATAGTTCGAAAAGGAACTTAAGGATTTTTGATATTATAATCTTAAATGTTGCTAGCCTCTACATATAAGTCCCATAGAAGTAAAAAGTGTCCCAATTCGAAGAGTGACGATCCCAGTCAAGAATCGGTGAAAATCGAACCGACACCGTCCCAACTCAGACTGCTGGAGTACGAATTGGGAATAGGGAATAGCATGCAAAGAACTCAGTGCAAATTTCTTATTCACCAGTCGTCCCAGTTTTATGTAAACGATATGAATGCAGGGTCCCTTCTCACTTCATGGGTCGACAAAAATTTTCACACTTTAGAAGAGAAACGTACCGAGTAAGAATGTCAGCATGAGACATTACAAAGGAGACAAATATGACGAAACGTTTTACAGGTTTCTGGTCGAAAAGGACGGGACAGTAAAAGAAAAAATGTTATTCGTAGCTTTACAAAAGGGAAAATACTACGTCAAAACCCACAGTACTGTAGACGATTCTGTAGAGAAGAAATTTTACAGTTTTCGTGTAACAAAGAACTTCGTTTCGGAGGGTGCAAACTACGTGCTGATGAGATACCTCGCAATCACCCGGTATATAGGTGAATTTGAACTGTCCTCCATGTACATTAATGGAACCATGTGTAGGAATATTTACGTACGAACTACACACCTACAATACAATTCATTGAAACTGATTTATTTATTTATTTTAGAAATGTACAGGGCCGGAAGTGGGAATAGTAAATGACAAAAAGATTGACGTTTGTAAAATATACCGGACGTTGATAGAAGAATGTGGACTGACTCATAACAGTATCACTGTTATATCATTAAATGGCATGTACAGGGTGATAAATGAAATAGAAAATTGTAGGCTGTTTCATTTAAATACCCCAAAAATATGAATGAGTTATCTTTCGGACACCTGCATTTACTATGCTTATTCTCCTATGACCTTTTAGGCCAAATTATCAAACAGGAATGGGAAGAATGTGACTACATCTTACAGGTAAACCCATTCGCCCAAATCAAAAGAAAGCAAAAGCCTGGCAAACTCGAAAGAATTTATTTGAAACACGTTTGGGAGAACGACATGGAACTTTTTTCGCGATATCTCGACAGAAAGGTACCAAAAAAAGGCACCCCATGATACCCTACAGTTCTGACGTTATTAATCCTTTAGGAACAACGCCATTTGAAGCTTATCCAATACCTGAAAGATCACCAAGAGCTCAAAAATATACTGAGCGATTACTTGAGTAGAATTTTAATCATGAAACCAACCGAAGTTATCGATTTTACAGTTGATTATTTCAAGCAGTACGCTCCTGTTGTTATCCCCAGGGAAGAATACTTTGGAGAATCCGAAGAAGAAAGCGTTAGATATGAGGAATCGGTAGAAAGTACCATTAGCATGTTGCCGGAAGAGGAAGAGGAAAAAGACGCTCACGTGCAAGGTACCGAAACGACAATAAAAATAAAATACACTTGACAAACTTTTCTTGTTTGTAGCCATCCAGTATCTGATAAGCTTATCAGACTCGTGTATTTGCGAAGGTGTTTGCTTATGCGATGAAGAAACGCCAGGTAAGCAATAATAAATCTATTTGTAAAAATGTTATAAAAATACATAAACTTGTTTTTGAGAAGAATCCGCAGCTTCTTGCATTTGTGAGGAGATATGCGAATGTTTTGAGGAGGAAGAAGAAGAGAAAGTCGAGGATAATAAACAACCAGAAATACAAGAAGAAGGAATGGATGAAGTACCTCCTGAATCAAAGGAAGAAGAAGAACAACAACAACAGGAAGCACCTAAAGAGGAACAGGAAGCACCTAAAGAGGAACAGGAAGCACCTAAACAGGAACCAGAACCACAAACCGAAACAGAAACGGGTGAAAATCCATCTGAAAATCAATAAATACTAAAAATTACCATTATAGTGAAGATTTCAACATGTATGATACAAATTTGAAGTGTTACTTACATTAAAAATGAAAACATTTTCAATTAGCTGTTATTTCATTTTGGTTGGATAGCAAATAGTACAACTGGTAAAGTCCACAGAGTCCGGTATACAAAGTTCGTGGAAACCATGTTTACAGTTAAAAACTATTACGTTATTATTTCCTGACAAATCTGAAAAATCAAACAAAATTAAAATTTCCTCGTTCTTTAGCAACATTTACCACCCTTTCAAGCCTCCTAACTTTATCTCCCATTCTATTACTTTCTTTTAACATTTCCTAGTCGTTTTAACTCTTATTAACCCAATTATTGTTTTTGCCTATATTATTAACACTAAATCCTTTTTACCTCGAGTAATTATTTTTCGATGACATGCCCCACAAAACACTTCATCTGTGACAGGAATACCCCTCTGCTGCAAATTTACCAATTTCTCGTGTAAATTAAAATAATCAGATAGCAAAATCTTTTTAAAACTCTCTTCTACGGAAGCCTGAAAGAAAAAGGTCCCAGTAACTATTTATCATTCTTGCAAATTACAATTATTATAAAACATCCACCTGCAAGCTGTAATCTTTAAGCATTTTAACCAAGGATTTTTTAAGCCCTGGTATTTCTTTACCATCTTCAATTTGTTCCACCAAAACTATTGGGTTCTGATAGGTTCCTAT